TATTGAGAGATTGCATAAATGGTTTTCCAAATTAAGATTGCATTTCTGTGCATGCTTACCTGGGGGGAAAAAATGAATTAGGTTTATCTTTGACGAGATATTGTTGATGAAAAATGTTCTTCAGGGTCCAGTCCAAGCCGGGAATAAACAAAATGGAGACTGCTTTAGAAAGAAAGTTGCAGTTTATTGAAGAGGAGAGCCAGACAGAAAGATGGCTCTGTGAAAAACTGACCACATGTTGCTGGGAGTGGTGGGGTTTTATACCTTCTGGGGCTTTTTAGGTTGTTTCCTGTTCCTGTTTGAGGCTTTGTATTTCCTGTGTCATGTACTTTGACCTGGGTCTGAGTGTGCCCTTTTGGTATTGGTGGGTTAATCCTATTGTGTTTCCTGTCTTTAGAGTTTGGGTGGGGGTATGTAGATTTTAGGGGGTCTTTGTCTTCCTAATCTCATCAGCTTCTAGCTTCCTGGCTCCAATCTTCCTGAAAGGATTATTACATCTGCATTTCTAAAAGCTGGCCTCTGCCTAGTTTCTGCTTGGGAGAGTGGGGCTGGGGCTTTTTTCTGGGTGCTGGTTTCTGTCTTTTTTAAAGATTTTCTCCATTATTCCTTTCTAATATTCCCCCCAAAATTTCTTTCTTTGGTTTCTCCCCACAACTTATTTCTATAAATATGTTTTTCCACGATTGCAGATTTTTTTTCTGCGTTTGCAGCAGAACAAGTTCCTTTAAAAAAAATTAAGACTCTTATTTAAGTGTGTGTGTATATGTGTTTTTCCCTTAAAAAATCATATTTTTTTTCTTTTTTTCATCTTGTGAGAATCTGGTTGCATTGATATCTTCTACAAAACCGCGACAATTTGACCGTGTTTTGCCTAACCCCACCCACCTATTTACCTGAAAAGGCTGCTGTATTTCCTAGCAGGCCTCATTTCTGAAGAGGATACTCAAAACATTGTCTTGTGAAATAAAACACGGGTTGCCCTGATAAATTATTTTGGCAGGTAGGGTGGAAAACAGCCAAGCTACATGGTTTCATTTTCTAGCAGGAAAAATAATCCAATTTAATTACAGTCTTCTAGTCCATATGACGAAGGAGAGAGAAAGGGAGGGGGGAGGGAGGGAGAGAGAGAGAGAAGTTGAATCACTCTTCCAATTAAGCATACATTATGAAAGGCAATCTATAAATGATTTTATTTAAGGGCAGTCCTTGACCTATGGCTAAAATTCAGCCCAACATTTCTTTTGCTAAGCAAGACACTGGCTAGGTGAGTTGTCCTACTTTATTGTGACTGTTTGTGTCACAGTTGTTTGTGTCACAGTTGTTAAGCAAGTTGTTAAATGAATCACGCAGTTGTTAAGGAAATCTTAACAATTTTGGCTGGCAAGATTGTGAATAGCTATTAATTAGACCAGGGGTCTTCAAACTTGGCCCTTTTATGACTTGTGGACTTCAACTCCCAGAATTCCTCAGCCAGGCACACTGGCTGAGGAATTCTGGGAGTTGAAGTCCACAAGTCATAAAAGGGCTAAGTTTGAAGAGCCCTGAATTAAACAGTGGAATTCCGTGACTATTGTACATGTGTGATTGTTGCCAAGGATCATGTGACCACAAGGTCATTGTGACAGACATAAATACGAGGATTGGTCAAAACGTATTTTTCTGAGCCCTGTCGTAACTTCAAACTTCAAGTATGTCGTACCTGAATAACTTTTCTCCAATGCAAATTTTTTGTAAGTCTTCCAAAAAGTGGTGGAATTATATTCTGCAAGTGACTTTCTTAAGATAGATCGTCAGGAGCGCTGCACCCATCTCCCAAGAACGTACTAATTAAAATGCAATCCTCAAATGCTGGCTGAGGAATTCTGGGAGTTGAAGTCCACCCATCTTAAAATGGCTGAGGTTGAGAAACGAGGATTTAAATCTACCGTCTTTGACACCAGGGGGAAAAAAAATCTCTCCTGTTTTCCAAGATTTGAAAACCAGATATATTTTTCTGTTCATCTTGGTACAGGTCGTCCTCAACTTACGACCACAACTGAGCCAAAATTTCTGTCGTTAAGCGAGACAGTTGTTAAGTGAGAACAACTCACAGAATTTTGAACTCCTAAGTCGAAAAAAGTCGAGTTTGCTGCTTTTAGCTTTCTTAGCCGGACGGCGTTTCCTTTGCTGATATTTTATGTTGCATTTAAAATTTATAATCCTGATTTTTTTTTTTAATGTAGCTGTTTTCTTTTATGGGTCACAGCCAAGCCACTAAGGACTGGGCAGGATATACAGTTACTAAGCAAATAAATTGACGAAGGGTTTGATGTGGGTGGGAAACTGCCTCCAGTATTTATGGGAATAGAGTGGGGAATGTTTTACTGGATTCACATGAAAACCAGCTGTAATTGCTCACAACTGCTGTGCAAATGAAGAAAGCAATTGCTGGTCTGACAGCTTTGCACTTCTCCTGATTTTCTAGCACCAGGAAAAAAAAATACATGGGAATAAGTGCAGAGGTAGTCCTTGATGTAAAAAAGATGTTGAGACTCTAGAACAGTGGTTCTCAACCTGTGGGTCAGGACCCCATTTGGGGTCGAACTACCATTTCACGGGGGTCGCCAAACAAGCCTGTCCGCCATTTTTTCCCCCCTTTTTTTGGCCACGCCCTGGCACCCGGTGATGTATAAGTGGTTGGGGGTCACCACAACATGGGGAACTGTATTATGGGGTCGCGGCATTAGAAAGGTTGAGAACCACTGCTCTAGAAAAAGTGCAAGAGAAGAGCAACAAAGATGATCAGGGGACTGGAGGCGAAAACATATAAGGAACATAAGAACATATAAGAACATACAAGGGCGACGAAACTCGCTTAACAAGTGTCTCGCCTAGCGACCGAGGTTTTGGGCGCAATTGCGGTCGTAAGTCGAGGACTACCTGAAAATGTTTACTTTTTAAGAAAAAGAGGAGACAAAGTTTAAGATAAGTCATAGGGTTTGCCCACTTCCCTGGAGGAAGAGTCACAGTCTAAGCCAGAGGTCCCCAACCTTTTGGGCACCAGGGACCGGTTCCATGGAGAGAGGTTTTTCCGTGGACCGGAGGGTGTGTGGTTTTGTGTGCTGCCTGCATCCCGCAGATGGGGCCTTGCTTGTTTGTGCGGACTGGTTGCTGGCATGCCGCGGCCTGGTACCAGCCCACAGACCGGGGGTTGGGGACCCCTGGTCTAGCTTAGCCAAACCCAAATCCTGAAGCCGTTCTTCATGTTTTAGTCTCCAGGCTTTTGATCATCCAAATTTTTTCCAAACTCTCAACATCTTTTTTGTGATACGGTGACCAAAACTGCTTGCAAATTGGTTCATATTTATGACATTTGCAGTGTCCAGGGGTCACGTCAGTGGTGGGATTCAGCCGGTTCGCACCACTTCGGCAGAACCGGTAGCTTAATTTTTTGTTGCCCAGGCCCAGAATGGATTTCCGGAAGCGGCATCCACACACAGAACCGGTGGTTCACCTATCTGAATCCCACCACTGGGTCACGTGATTTCCCCTTTTGCAACCTTCTGACAAAGTCAGTGGGGAAGCCAGTTTCCCTTTAACAAGCATGCTACTAACTTCACAACTGCAGTGATTCACTTCACAACGGTGGCAAGAGAAGGTCGTAAAATGTGGCAAGCCCCACACAACCACGGTCTTGTTTAGCAACAGAAATGTCGGACTCTGTTGTGGTCATAAGTCAAGGACCGCCTGTAATCCTAATGGTGGATTGTCCATCTGAGATGGAGAAAAGAAAGTTTTTTTGCAGACCGGAGGGTGCGTGGTTTTGTGTGCTGCCTGCATCTCGCGGATGGGACTTTGCTTGTTTGTGTGGACTGGTTGCTGGCATGCTGTGGCCCGGTACCGGTCCACAGATCAGGGGTTGGAGACCCCCGGTCTAAGCAACAGTCAGATAAGAGGCAGCTGACCCCCAAGAAGGAAAGGGATATGGCAAATGTCTGAGAAGGGACCCTCCCTAGATTTTTGGATTGTAAAAGTGAGAGAGGACAAGAGATCTACCTTTAGACCCACAAGATCCTGTGAATGTAATCTCACAATTAAGGACAGAACTACAGGGAGTCCTTGGCGTACGACTGCAAAGAAGCCCAACACTTCTGATGTTAAGCAAGACATTTGCTAAGTGGGTTTTGCTCCATTTTACGACCTTTCTTGCCACAGTGATTAAGTGAATCCCTGCACTTGTTAAGTTAGTCACACGGTTGTTAAGTGAATCTGGCTTTCCCCATCGACTGCTTATCAGAAGGTCGCAAAAGGGGATCATATGGGAGACTGCAGCTGTCATCAGTGTGAGTCAGTTGCCGAGTGTCCGAAATTGGATTACGTGGTCGTGGAGATGCTGCAACGGTCGTAAGCGTGAAGAACAGTCCCTTTTTTCAGTGCCGTTGTAGCAATAGCAATAACACTTATATTTATATACCGCTTCACAGTGGTTTACAGCCCTCTCTAAGCAGTTTACAGACTCAGCATCTTGCCCATTGCAATCTGGGTCCTCATTTTACTGACCTTGGAAGAATGGAAGGCTGAGTCAGCCTTGAGCCAGTCAGGATCGAACTCCTGGCAGTGGGCAGAGTATGCCTGCAATTGCGATAGCACTTAGACTTATATCCCGCTTCACAGTGCTTTTACAGCCCTCTCTAAGTGGTTTACAGAGTCAGCATCTTGCCCCCCAACAATCTGGGTCCTCATTTTACTGACCACGGAAGGATGGAAGGCTGAGTCAGCTTTGAGCCAATAGGGATCAAACTCCTGGCAGTGGGCAGAGTTTGCCTGCAATAGCAATAGCAAGAGCGCTTATATACCGCTTCACAATGCTTTTACAGCCCTCTCTAAGCGGTTTACAGAGTCAGCATCTTGCCCCCAACTGTTGTAACTTCGAACGATCACTAAACAAACTGCCGTAATTCGAGGACTACTTGTACTATTCCCGGCTGACCCTTTTTCCTTCTCTTCCTTTCTCCTTCCAGGGAATCCCACTGCCTGCCTTTGGCGGACTCTTTCCTTACCCGTACACTTACATGGCGGCTGCAGCCGCCGCGGCCTCTGCCATGCCGGTGACCAGCGCCACCACCACCAGCTCGCTGTCCCGGAACCCCTTTCTGAGCAGTGCTCGAGCTCGCCCGCGTTTCAACCCCTACCAGATCCCGGTGGCCATTCCTCCCAGCACCAGCCTCCTCACCACCGGGTTGCCTGCCAGTTTGAACGTCGGCTCAGAAGCCTCCAAGGCCGGGAGCAGTCGGGAATCCAGCCCTCTTTCGGATCTGCCCGTCCCGAAATCCAGCAGCCAGCGGGCATCTCTGTCCCCCAAGCCATCTTTGAAGGGTTCCATGAACGAGCTGCAGAACATCCAAAGACTGGTCAGCGGTTTGGAAACCCAAAGGGAAGTGTCCCCTAGTCGGAATTCCCCCAAGTCGACGGTTCACGGAAGCAGCCAACCCCCGAGAGCTTAGGGGCCCCCCCCCGGGAAAGAGAGGTGTACAGCACATAGTATATAAATATTTATTTTTTAAGAAAAAAGAGGAGAGGAGATTGAGATGGGTCGAAGGCTGTATAAGCATCAGTAGCTCGGGCGTCCACTGAGATGGGCAGGGAGGGCCAAGGGCCTAGCAGAGGAGGCAGGAAAAACATGCCGGAAGGCCGTTGCTGACCAGGTTTTCGAACTCATGCTGTGATCACAACAGCCCGCCGCTATTTACGTGTTTCCTGCCCCCCCCCTGGATTGAGCTGAAGAGGTCCATTTTCATCCAAGTGCATCTCTAAAATGGCCGTCAGAGAGGAAGGTGACGTCCTAGGTCACCTCCAGCTCGTTTTGGAAAAACCCTCGGCACTTTTTCTCCCTCCGAGAATTGAATTTTGAAATGCGGACGATGCCGTAGGACTCGGTCCTCCGATGCTAGGAAAACGGGGAAGATGTGAGCTTTTTTTTTTTTTTTGCCGAGCTATAAATGTTAGCAAATTGGGTTTATATCAGCAAGAGGAAGCCGAGGCACGTTTTCCCACGCTCTCTGCTCACCGAGGTTTTGAAGGCCACCGAAAAGGAAAAAAAAAAAAGAAGCAAAATAAACATGAACGTCCCTCTCTCCCCCCCCCCCAGCATTCAGAGTTGGTACAATCCACGTGTGGATCTTTTTCTTCGGGGGGGGAAACGACTTTCTCTCTGCGTATCGAAAAAAAAAATTGGAAAAAAAAGGAAAAAAAAAAGAAAAGAAAAAGAAACATAATATTTATGGAATAAAATGGTAATTTCTGTAAATAAGCTATAACAAATCCCCGCCCCCAAATATGCAAAAATTGGTATTAATTTATTTAGAGTTGTACATTGGAGTGTACATAATTAGAGTTTAACTCATGTTTGATTTCTTTTTTTTTTTTCATTTTATGTGAACGTGCATATATTGTAAATGAAGGTCTGTTTTCCAAGGTCCCTGGGGCGGGGTCAAATACCAGGTAGGCGTGGCAAGGGCTGTGCAGTCCAAGCCCCGCCCACTCTTCCAGCGATATTGAAGGGGCGGGGCTTTGAATGCAAGGGCGGAGCAACCATCTTGAATTTTTTTTCAACCTGCTTGTTTAACCCTTTGTGAATCGAAGAAAAATTTTGTTCTGTATCTAAAAAAAAAAACAAGAAAAAAAATTTATCCCGTGTGTTGGAAGACAATCATTATATTTAGATCCAGCTATAAAGAACCAGGAGACGATCAAATCCTTCAAAAGGAACTCAACAGGGAAAAATATGACTTTCTCCTTATATATAGTTCAAAGAACAACAATGAATAACGAATGAATGATTTAAAAAAAAAACTTTTACAGTGTGGGGTATTAACAGAAAGAAAAAAAAAGTCAGTACAGAAACCAACCTCAGGTTTTTATTTTTCACTCCAGAGTGGGGGAAGGGAAGACAGAACACCGGAAACCTTTAAAAGTATATGAAAATTTAAAATATCACATGGACGGTGTGCTATATATTGTTTTTTTCTTTTTTAATGGCATCGTTAGAAAATGTGCTGGTTATTCGGGTATCTTCTTGGTTCGATTTTTGGGATGAGTCCTCTCACAACTTTCAATAAAAAAAAATATTCAAATAATTTTCTTCCTCTTTGGTTTTTCCTCTCTTTTTTTCCCTTCATCCTGGGACCTGGGAATGGATGGGTGGGGAGGGGGGCAGTTTGAATCCTCCTGAGCCACAAGGCTTTGAAATGGCAAAGTCTTCGGGGAGGGTTTGGTTGTCCAGTCCCACACTTTTCTCCTGGCCAGGATGGACCACGTCATCTCTGCCATTCCCGAAGCCAGCATCTCTTCCTGGTTGAGCTGAAATGTACCAAGTTGGATTGCAGTGGTGGTGCTGGTAGGTAATTTCGAAGTCTGGATGTCACTGATTCTATGTCTGTCTGTCTGTCTGTCTGTCTATCTGTTGTCTGTCTCTAGCTAGCATCTACCTAGCTAGCATCTCTCTCTCTCATCTATCTATCTATCTATCTATCTATCTATCTATCTATCTATCTATCTATCATCTATCTATCTATCCATCCATCCATTATCTATCTATCTATCTATCTATCTATCTATCTATCTATCTATCTATCTATCATCTATCTATCTATCCATCCATCATCTATCTATTTATCTATCTATCTATCTATCATCTATCTATCTATCTATCTATCTATCTATCTATCCATCCATCCATTATCTATCTATCTATCTATCTATCTATCTATCTATCTATCTATCTATCTATCTATCTATCTATCTCTTTCTCCCCCCCCCTTTCTCTCTGTGTGTATCCACCTTTATTATTTTGTTGAATAACCCAAGGCTGCTAACATACAGTATCTAATACAGGAGGTGGGAGTTCCAGCCCCACCTTAGACATGGAAACCAGCTGGATGACTTTGATCCAATCACCAGGAGATGGTGAATTCTACCGCCGCCTTAGGCATGAAAGTCAGCTGGGTGACTTTGGGCCAATCCCCAGGAGATGGTGAATTCTAGTCCTGCCTTAGTCATGAATGCCCACTGGGTGACTTGGGCCAATTACCAGGAAATGGTGAATTCTAGTCCCGCCTTAGGCATGAAAGCCAGTCGGGTGACGTTGGGCCAATCACTCTCTCAGCCCAACCCACCTCATAAGGTTGTTGTGAGGAAAACTTTGAACAGTAGCTAAACAAACAGTTGTAAGTCAAGGACTCCCTGTATTTCTTCTGTTAGGAATCCCTTCCTCACTTTATGAAGACCCACGTTTGCCGCAGACTCCTCCTCCGAGCACGCTATCAGAAACATTCCCTTTTTTTTATACATCAGGGAAATTGGAGACAACCGGTCAACATTAAAATGATACAACAATAAGTAATAACCATAATCATACAGGTAGTCCTCGGTTTATGGCCACAATTGAGCCCAAAACAGCTTTTAAATGTATTTTGTTCCATTTTATGACCTTTCTTGCCGCAGTTGTTAAGTGAATCGCTGTGGCTGTTAAATTAGTAATACGGTCATAAAGTAGATTTGGCTTCCCCATCAACTTGGCTTGTCAGAAGGTTGTGAAAGGAGATCGCCCGATCCTGGGACACTGCAACCATCATACGTACATGCCAGTTTCCCAGTGTCCGAATTTTGATCACATGAACACAAGGATGCTGCAACGGTCATGGGTGAGAAAATGGGCACAAATCACTTTTTTCAGTGATGTTGTAACGTTGAAAGGTCACTAAGCCAATGGCTGTAAATTGAGGACTATCTGTGTCTGCTTTTATTTTTGTTTTAAAAAAGAAGCAAAACCCATCAATTCACATCTGGTCAATTCACAATGAAAACAGAATTGTCTTTCTGGAGCTAATTTTTTTTTTTAAATAACTACTTTCTAGACATCCCAAAGGTGCTTTTTCACATGCAAACTGGACTTTCTTGTTTTTTCTTTGAAGACAACAAAGTCCACATTTTGGACAGGGAGGACCGCTGGTTTGAAAGAGAGGGGTAAGGATACAACGTCATCTATCTACATCGTGGTCACCATGATGTAAAAAAGATGTTGAGACTCTGAAAAGAGTACAGAGAAGAGCAACAAAGATGATTAGGGGACAGGAGGCTAAAACATATGAAGAACAGTTGCTGGAATTGGGGATGTCTAGTTTAACCAAGAGAAGGACGAGGGGGGACATGATAGCAGTATTCCAGTATCTCAGGGGGTGCCCCAAAGAAGAGGGAATCAAGCTATTCTCCAAAGCGCCTGAAGGCCGGACAAGAAGCAACGGATGGAAACTAATCAAGGAGAGAAGCAACCTGGAACTAAGGAGAAATTTCCTGACAGTGAGAACAATTAACCAGTGGAACGACTTGCCTTTAGAAGTTGTGGGTGCTCCATAACTGGAAGTTTTTAAGAAGAGATTAGACAACCATTTGTTTGAAATGGTGTAGGGTCTCCTGCTTGGGTTGGACTAGAAGACCTCCAAGGTCCCTTTCAACTCTGTGATTCTGTTCTGTTAATTCTGTCACACATGATCCTAGGCACTTACAGCAACCAGTCAAAAGAACACAATATTTCAATATTTTAAACCAGACAACGGGGACAGTGAGTTAATTGATACAGACCATTCCTGTCCTCAGCAATCTAAAAATTATAAGGTTATCAGTGCATGTAACATAGAGGGATGTGTGGACTAGAATATCAACTTAGCTGTCAAGCAAAATCAAGCTTTTAATAGTGAGTGCCACACCAAGTGCACTAATCCAACAGGTGGTAAGAAAATAGGGGAACTCAGGCACTACACAGGTGATGTAGAACGTAAACACAGGGTCAGTCATAAAGGACTCAAATGTCTGTACACCAATGCACAGAGTATGAGCAACAAACGGTGAATTAGAAATTCAGGTAAATGACAGCAGATATGATATTGTTGCCATTAGGGAAACTTGATGGGATGAAACACACAAATGGAACACACAGCTAGAGGGATTAAAATTATTTAAAAGAAACAGACCAAATAAAAGAGGAGGTGGAGTTGTTCTCTATGTGAGAAATAACTACATCTCTACAGAAATAGAGCACAACAATGATGAAAACTGTCTCAAATGCATTTGGGTCAATATAAAAGGGCGGGAAATGACATTGCCATAGGTGTATACTATAGATCAGTGGTTCTCAACCTGTGGGTCTGGACCCCATTTGGGGTCGAATGACCATTTCACGGGGGTCGCCAAACAACACAGTCCACCATTTTTCCCCCCTTTTCCTTAGCTGTGCTACTCCCTTTTATTCTATTGGCTTTTGAAAGCCAATAGAATAGACTCTCTTGAATAGAGTCTAATTTCTATTGGCTTTCAAAAGCCAATAGGAATTGTCCAGGCTGTCTCTGCCCTGCTGAGCCCGCCAAAAGTCCCATTCTGCAAACGGTGCTGCAAGTTGTCTGCAGCGAAGGCGAGCTGTCTGGAAGTTTCCACCCCTCCCTGCTGAGCAGCTACTAAAAATGTAAGTAAAAGAGGGCCAGGGGTGGGAGGTGGGAGGCCGGCGGGCGCAGGGAGGGTTGCTGGCGCACGTGTGGCCCGGCGGGTACCTTACCTCCCTTGGGTTGGGCCAGCTGGTGGCCCAGCCGGTGGTTAGCCTGCGCCATCTCTGCCGCTTGCCAGCTACACCTCGGCCGGTGCAGGGGGCGGCACCACGCATGCGCGGCGCTCCCGGGCAGGGAAAGTCCTCGACTTACGATCAATTGGGTAGTCCTCGACTTACGACCGGTTGGGTAGTCCTCGACTTACGACCGGTTGGGGGTCGCGGCATTAAAAAGGTTGAGAACCACTGCTATAGGTCGCCCAACCAGAGGTAATAGATGAACTTTTTGCTAGTCAGTTAACTAACGTATGTAGGAAGCACATCACAATAGTAATGGGGGACTTTAATTACCCTGACATCAACTGGGAGACAAACTCGGCACCACGTGGAAGATCAAACAGATTCCTGACAAACCTAGCAGACAACTTTGTCTCCCAAAAAGTAGAGAAGGGAACTAGGGGGTTAGCCATATTGGATTTAATTCTCACTAACAGAGATGAAATGATAGAAAGTGTTGAAGCCAAAGGAACCTTGGGGGGAAGTGATCATACAATATTGGAATTCAACATTATGCAAGCACAAGCAATAGAACACAGTCAAACTAGAGTCTTGGACTTTAACAGCGCTAATTTCAATAAACTTAGAGAGAGCTTTGGAAGAATTCCATGGATGAGAATCCTCAAGAGGAAAACAATTCAAGAAGCTTGGGAAGTTTTTAAAAATGAGATAATAAAAGCCCAGTCTAGCACAATACTAATAAAGAAGAAAAATAGCAGCTCTCAGAAGAAACCAGCATGGCTGCATAAAGAACTCTGATAAATTGAAAGACAAAAAGGACAAGTATAAAAAGTGGAAAGAGGGGCACATAAGTAAGGCAGAATATCAACAAATAGCCCGAGCCTGCAAAGATGAAGTAAGGAAAGCCAAGGCTCAAAATGAACTAAGGCTTGCGACCAAAGTCAAAAATAACAACAAAAAAAGCTTCTTTCAACATGTAAAAAACAAGAAAAAAGTGAAGGAAACAATTGGTCCAAAGTGGCAAGAAGGTGACAAGCAATAGGGAGAAAGCAGAACTATTTAACTCATTTTTTTGCATCTGTCTTTACACAAAAGGGAAAAAAACAGTCCAACCTATCAAAAACAGTACCGTAAAAAGCAGATTAGAAACACAAGTTAAGATAGGCAAGAAAATGGTAAGTGAGCACCTGTCCACCCTAGATGAGTTCAAATCACCAGGACTAGATGGATTACACCCCAAGGTTCTCAAGGAACTGGCAGATGTGACCTCACAAACACTGAACTGTATCTTTCAAACATCCTGGAGCACTGGGGAACTACCAGGTGACCCTGAGGGCACAGGGACACCTCCAGATGGCCTCAAGGACTCTCTAAAAGGAATGCAAATAACCAGTTGTCTGCAAGGAGTAATAATAATAATAATAGTAAAGTTGGAAGGGACCTTGGAGGTCATCTAGTTCAACCCCCTGCTCGGGCAGGAAACCCTACACCATTTCAGACAAATGGCTGTCCAGTCTCTTCTTA